TTCATCACGGGATTTCATCAAGAATATCCAAGTAAACCGAGAAAAGTCATCAATGAACAAGATAAAATATTTGTAGCCACCCATAGAGGGTAAGTGGTAAGGCCCCCACACATCAGAGTGCACAACATTAAAAGGAGAAGAAGATCTTTTATTACTCAAGGGATAACAATTTCCACAATGCTTTGACAGCTCACAAGACTCACAATGAAAACTGGACAAACTAATTCCCTTAAACAGTTCAGGGAATAAATGACTCAATGCAGAAAAAGAAAGATGAGCCAAACGAAAATGACATAACATAACTCGACTGATAGACTCTATAGATATAGACCCAAAAGCAGCTTTTCCAGGTTGTTCAGGGCACTGTCCCGGAGTATCAAGCAGGTATATTCCATTCGCCTCATGGCCACTCCCAATCACCTTCCGAGACTCCAGATCCTGAAAAAACACAGTAGGAAGGAAGAAGGCTACACAACAGTTTAATGACTTAGTTAGACTACTTACAGATAACAAGTTTGTATTTAGTCTTAGGTACATGAAGAGCAGAAGGTAGGAACAAGGAATCATCGGCTAGGGTGATTTTGTCACGTCCAGGAAGTAAATCATACAAARCAAACAAGGTAGAAAGGTTGGTCATATGATCAAAAGCACTTGAATCAATAATCCAAGGGATCCTAAGATTACCTGAAATGATTGCATGATTGGAAGAAGCCCGTATACCTGAATGAGCAAATGCAGAAGAGGCTGAATTATTTGAAGGGTTGGAAGAAGAAGTCACACCCTCTAGGTGACTGATCATCCTCCCAAACTTTTCATATTCTGCTTTCACGGCTGCTAACTGCGCACAAGCTGTCATTTCTTCAGTATGGTACTTGTCACTATCTGGACTAGCAACAGCATTAGCACTCCCTGCCCTTTTATTATCATGCTTCTTCTAAAACCGAAGAGGTAGAAGCTCAGGATGTAATTTCTAGCACTTGTCTTTAGTGTGTTTTGGCCTTTTACAGTACTCACAGACAATCTCTTTCTTCCCTGAGCCACTAGGAGTCCCTACAACCCCTTTGGGTTTCACTCCCATATTAGCAAAGTGAACATTTAGACCAGCCCCTTGAACCTGGACAATCCTTCTGCTCTCTTCACTACTTACCAAGGCATATGCTTGCAACAGTGAGACACTATCCTTGGATAAAATATTTTGTTGTAATATCATACTCTGGGTTTAGTCCAGTTAAGAACTCAAACACCCTGTTTCTCAACCAGTTTTCTGTAGGTCTCTGCATCATTAGTGGTGTCCCAGGTTACAGCTTTTATCAAATCTATTTCTTGCCACAAAGACTTCAATGTTGAGAAGATGGGCTGAATGGCCCATAGGCTGTTTATCCTTTCTT